GGGCCCTGAAGGCTCCCACGTGCATTTGGAACCCAACAGCCACGGGCAGAAACAAAGGCCACCTCCGAGGGGAGGACCTGCGGGAGAGGCCCTTTTTAAAGACTCCTAAAGACCCCCGCATCTCCCTTTGTCCCTGAGTCCCTGCTCCAGCTGCCCCCTGCACAGTTAAACCGACAAGGCAAAACCTCGGCCCACCCGGGCAGGCAGGACGGCAGCCCAAGCGCAGCCAGGGCCGCGGGAGCCCAGAGCTCCGCAGCAGCATCGCACTCACAAACCAAAAACACCGAACGCACAAAACTAGAAAGAACAACCCCCAACACCACAGAACAACCCGCTGGACGTCCATGCTGCGGCTTAAAATATTTACACCTGTGCACGTGTGCACACGCAGAAAGAGTTCTCAGTTTTAAGCACCTTTCATTTGTTTTAAGATACACGGAGACTCACAAACCTCAGCGCCGGGGGATTTTTTCTTGATCTTTTGTCACTGGGGCGAGATTTGGTATCAGCCCAGTTCTTCTAGTGGTCGTTACTGGGCAGGACAGCACGGGAGCGCTGCAGGTCTGCACAGGTCTCTGCGGCAGCCTGAGACGTGTTCCACACAGCGCGGGGCACCGACGCTCGCTTTGCCCACGGTTAATAAGCGTTTAGTAGATGTTGGTATCTCAGCACGCTCACAAACAGGTTCGAAGGGACCAGTACCATAGCAGCCTACATGCCACAGGAAGAGCAGCCCACTGACCTGTGGGATTCCACAGCCCCGGATTAAGCTCTTAATACACCATTATTCATAATTTATTAACCCTTTATAAACAGACTCTTGCTGTAAAGTGTGACGGCAGCTCCGCTTTGTTTCCGGTGCTGGCTGGGAGCCGCGTGCGGAGGGACGTCTGAGCTGGCACCGCAGGGAAAACCAAGCGCTCGGCATCGTGTCCTGAACACGGGACCTAACTACAGCTTCAGCCCCCGCTGCCGGGGGCTCCGCGGCAGCCGAGCGCCTCGGCTTTGCCAGGAACTTCAACCCCGCCGCGCTCAGGAAGGACGAGCGGGGAGCAGCAGCAGCAGAAGGGTTTCTTACAGGGGTGAGTTCTGCAAGCAGATCCGCAGATACGGGCAGCGCAGGGCGGTGGGACACGAGCAGGGCTGCCCACTTCTTGACGTCCCCCTGGCTGGGGAGGCAGAGATTCCTCTAAAGCTGTCACCTGGGCGGTGGAGCACATCAACCACAGCGGTGGGAGGAGGGAGGGCCGCAGCATCCAGCCTTGAGCGCCAACACACACGTGCTCCAGGATACCCCCTTCACGAGCACTTACATCGACGTTCATAAAAACACAACATCTCCCAGGTCGTTCCCGGGGACAGCTTTAGAAAAACAAAAGGCATTTAATGTGAAGCCAAGGATGAAGAAGGATGTAAACTTTGCCCTCACGTCAAGGAGCCATTGTGTCTGGTGGAGAATAAGCGGCAGGTGAAGGGAGATCCTCATCTCCAACCTGGTGTCACTCCGGCGGCGAGGAAGCCCCTTCACCCTTCCCGCTCTTTGCCCCAGTTGCTGCAGACACCAAGGGATGCCATCCAGCAGCAGATGGGAGGTCGCTGGGGGCTTCACAAGGTCTCTCTCTCCCTGCTGATAAACCATCCTCTGTGGAAAGAAGCTCTAGTACCTCTGTATTTGCAGGAAGGAAGGAAAAACAGTGGAGGAACAAGCAGCTCATTTCCCACCTGTGAAGACCCCCCTCTGCACCCTACTGCAAACAGGAAGTGGGTCTGGAAAGACGATTTCCATATGGGACCAGCCTCCAGAAGACAGGGCTGAACTTCTTTGCAGGCAGGTGGGTTTGAGGATGTGTCAGATGCGGGACAGGAATGGGGGCCGGTGCCCAGTCCGCAGCCTTGCCAGCAGCCGTGCCTACCGGCACGTTCTTTCCATGAGCGCCGTGTTGGGCTCCCAGCCGCGCAGGGCAGCACAGGCGGCATTTCCACATCGCACGAGGACTTCCCAGTCACTTGTGTTACGAGGACTCCAGGTCTCTGTGCCGATCCCCTTCGCACTTCAAAGCGAAACTGGCCTGGAAGAATTGAAACTGAAAGGCTCCATGGTGTGACTTAAACTAGATATTGGAAATAGTTTTCCCTCGCTGTGCTTTTGGAAATACTGTGTCATGGGTGCTACAGAACCACTCTGCAGCCAACCAGTATCGAGCATGTCCCATGGCGGCCAGGTTCCTCAGGCACAGATCCTGGGCGCTGGTAAGAGGTTTGTTTTTTCTCTCATTAAGAAAGATTCTCAACAGTCTGAGGTTGGACTCAACAAACATCACCACTTAAAAACAGTTCACAAAGTGACACTACAGGGTTCAACAACGTTGGATGGAAGAAACATCAGTGAAATCATGATGTGGGGAGGAGGGTAGGGAGGGAGGACACGTGTTTCTCATCTCGGGTGGTGGGTACCCAAACTCAGCGGCACTGGGCCACTACTCGTGATGCTGACCACGAGCAGGACGCCATGAACATATCAGGGTGCTCGCCCCAGGCTTGGGGCAAGACCGGCAAAGCACAGGAGTGGAGCTGAGGCGGTAGCAAACTGCTGCTCTGTATTGATCTTGGCTGGTCTGGAGCAGGAGTTGTTTTGTTTTTTCTTGCCAGTCTTGACGGTGTCCTTATAAAGGTAGAAGGAGTCAAGGACAAGTCCTTCATGGGGAGGGGAGGGACTTGCATTAAAAATCAGCATTACCCCAGGACTGAGTCTGGCCCTTCATGTCACAGGATGCAATTTTTTCAGTAGAACAGAAAGGGGCTTCACTGCATGGCTCTAGGCCGACACCAGTGCCAAAGCCCTGGCTTTCCGACAGACGTTCTCACCACACTGGACCTCTTGCCTGAACCCAGCTGCACTGGACAGCAGGGCTGCCACAGCCACAGGGCAACTTGGTCTTCTCCTGCCAGGGAGGCAGGAATATGGTCTGCTCTTGGAGCTCTGCTCTTGGAACTGCACTTCTCAGCTGCTCCCATTCCAACCTGCTCCTTTAATTTTGCCTCTTTCCTCTGACTTCTCTTTCAGATGCCATCTCCCTCACTTCCTCTCTCATCTCACATCCTTTCACCACCAGCTTCAACGTACTTAACCACCTCGGAGAAGCTGCCCAAGTGCCCTCCTCCTCTTTCCTCCCAGGGATTATCGCAGGGCAATGATAGCAGCAAGAGGGAGAACTCCCGGGACCATGAGGGTATCAAGGAACCAGCACTCCCCTCCGTGGAGGTGGGCACTGCTGTTCACCCCAGAAGGCCTCGCCACGGACAGCAGGCCCTCAGCGTTGGCAGGCCAGTGCTCCTCAGCTTGAATGGTGCTTCTTTCAACTATGTGCTGGTATACATACGTATCTACAGCTTGGGCCGGCGACTTGCTCCAGGCGCGGGAAGCAAGGTTTGCTCCATCAAGTACAGCCAGCAGCTGGGTGGAATCAAAGCCCACCTGGGGTTGTTGCTGTCCTACTGATGGACCCACACAGGACACCTGCCTCGGACAGATTGGCCTCCCTTTCCTCTTGGGATCTCTCCTCTGTCTTCACGGCGAGGAATGGCTGGTTGAACTGCTCCTGCAAGGTCCTGACATGATCTTGGAGCTGGGTCAGTGTTTTGTTTCCTGAGATCTTTTTTTTTTAGAGTTGTCTTTTAAAATACAAAACACCAAGACCTGCCTGGATTTCTGCAGGGCACTGGCTTCAGGAGGGCGCCCAAGCCACATGGGCAGAGCCTGTCTCAAGATTTCAGCAGGATGGAGAGGCACCAAACCATTCTTCCTCCATAGCAAAACCTTGGCTCTCAAGATCTTCTGTGGCATTTTCAATCACTTGGATATTTCCATCAGTCTCCTGCCTGGGATAAGCTCTTTTGGGAAGAATAGTGGCGGTTTTGTGTTATCAAGGTAAAATTGTAAGTAAAAAATCAAGGAGGGGAAGGGTAAGGGGCAGGTTGCTGGTTTTGTTTTTGTCCGAACCACTCAATTTTCCTGCCATGTGCTATGCTGGTTGGTTCAGACCCTTCCAGGAGGTCCTGGTTGCCTCCCCATGGGCAATGAGCGGCCCAAGAGTGGTGGCTAGCTTGGAGCAGGCACAAGTGCAACGAGACTCCCTACGCCACCCAGACACTCCTAGAGAACAGCCTGCACTTGGTAGCAGAAAAGGCTGCGCGGGGCTGGAGGCGCCGCAGCATGGCGCAGGCCGACGTGCCACAGGCCGCGGGCGCCGCGCGAGGCCCGGGCAGCTCCGCATGGCGCTGCCCGCCCCGCTCTGCTCCCCTTCCCTCGCCGCCGTGGGGAGATGCCGCGATGGACAGGGAGCAGCGGTGCCACAAGGGGAGGAGATATTCTCATTCAGCATCACGGATTATGTTTTTCCTTAAAACACCAAATCTTTTTTCCTTAAAACACCAAATCTTGCTGTTTAGTTCCTCTTTTGGCTTCCATGCGGTAATCTCGGTTTGTGACATCACAGTCCGTTTTTGTGGAGGAGAGCATGATGTCATAAAGAAAGGCACTGATGTCACAGGCTCCTTAGTACACAAAGGTACAGGCGTTTCCACAAACTCGGAGTAGCCCTGGTGTCGAGTTTTGGATTTTGCCAGGAACACCAATTTCCCGTGTGAATACTGGCATCACCGGAAGGGCAGGTGGAAGAACACATACAAGTGGGGGACGAAAGGGAGGCAAGAGCGCTGCGAGGGGCAACGCGACCCAGGAAGCCGCCTTTCCCCGGGGACAACCGTTCGCTGTCTCGTGAGGTCTCGCTGGGCATGAGGAACGCTCGGAGCAGACCTGCGGCCTCGTGAGGCCCGCGGCGCTGGGCGACGTCTTCAGGGGTCCAACTCAGTCTGCGTTTGGGGAGGGAGGGCAGGGCACGTAAGGAGTGGGGGGACGAGTACAGGGGTATGGAGTGGAACTGCAGCCTGGCGAGGGTTGGCTGGCTTAACTAGTGTTCCTAGCAGGGAGAGCAGAGGAGCAGCTCTTCCCCAGAGAGGTCTATGGCGGAGGAAGGTGGGAGCCTCCCTCGGCTGGAGGAGGTGTTACGAGAGAGGAGGCGGAGCAGAGAGCTGCTGGGGTGGCGCCGGGTGGCTCCCGGCGGAGGTTAGTAGTTGCAGTGGCGCTGGCAGGGTTGGTGGACGAAGCTCCCGCCTTGCTGCTTGAAGCGGCGCGAGGGGCGCTCGCGGGCCCGGTTCTGCCGCTGCAGGGCCTTCTGGCTGAGCCGGTGCCTCTCTGCCAGCTGCTTGGCGCGCTGCACCCGCCGGGCCTGGCCCACCTTCTCGAGGATGGCCGCCTTCACCGTGAGGGACGTGCTGTGGTGTGGCGCATGGCGCTCCAGGCGCGTCTCCGGCACCTCTCTGCGGGGACACAGCGAGAGACGGGCCCGTTAGCGGTCACTCTTGTCCTGACACAAGCACCGCCCTGGCAAGAAGGGGCCTGGTGTCCCCAGAGGCCACTGAGGGGAGGCAGTGGGGCCTCTTTCCCATCCAGCCCATGACACTAGCCTTGCCTGAGGTGCTCACGCGTCACACTGTGCTCCCTGGATGGACCCAACCTCAGGCAAGGTCCATGGGAAAACTCTCCAATCCCAAGACCAGCCTATCAGCTTAAAGCATGACAGGGACCAGGCTGACATCCCTTCAGCACACAGCACTTGCCTATTGAGCCCGCGTGCAAGGCCAAAGCTCAGAAGATGCTAAGCTCACTCCTTCCTCTCCTCCATATTCAGATCACACCAAGCCATGAGTATCATTTATGCCTTTTGCTTGCACACAGGTCCCAGATTATAGCCCTGCTTCCAAAGGACCCTGAACCACCAAAATCTCCGCCTGTAACAATCTCTATCATGATGGGCCATAACAGAGCAGCTTGGCTCTTCAGAGACCTGCAGTAAATCCAGTTGCTAAAAAGAAATGGGACCATCCCCAAAGACCAACCTACTGCCATCGCAATAGAGCAGCTTCTTGCCACCTCCTGTCATGGGCTTCTCATTTCCACCCTGCTTGTAACTGATTTTGTTTGCTGGCATGTTTCTAGCTCTCTTTAGGACCCTTTTTCACCTTCCATCACTGAGGTTTCTCAGTGAGGATCAGATTGTGGCCCTAAAGAAGATTTAGGAAACGGCAAATCAGAGGGGAGCCAGCACTAGGCAATGCCCCATAGCTTGAAGCAGCCTTGCACCCCACATTCCGTCCTGAGTGGCACTCAACAAGTCAAGCTCACAACATGGTGTCGTAACAACATCATGTAACAAGCTAACCAAGCTGCAACCCGGTGGAGATGCTTCGTCTCTCCTCACGAAGGGCTCCTGTGGAGCAGTGCAGGAGGACTAGGGACCAGGGCTCTGGGGCACACCGGGGGGGTGTCAGAGGTCCCACAGCAGACGCAAGGCTGAGCGATAAGCGCTGAACAGGGAGGTGGGCACCGTCGGGGTTTGCTGGGTGCCACAGGCACCATCAACTGAGGGCCCCCACGACGAGAGGGACCGCAATGAGGCTGGGGACTTGGGGAAGGTCTTCAGCCCTCCCAGCTCCTGAGGGGAGAGCGGGAAAGGGCAAGTCTCACTTGGTGAGTAAAGGCAAGAGGACATCCAGCCAACCAGGGGCTGTGGGACCAACCTGGCCAAGAGCAGGACAGCCCTGTAGGTGCCCACCAAAGTGCAGCAGCGAGAAGCGGGGAAGGCAGCAGTGCCAGCAATCAGGATGAGGCCCAGCACGTCCAAGGGTCATCTTGCTCTGCTGAGTATTAGGTTTTCTCTCCTCGCGCACTGCTCGTGCAGAGCCCTGTTGCATAAGCCCAGCCTGGTGGGCTGGCAAACCCATGTCCTCCTCAGAGCCCAACCGTGGGATGCGAGGGGCTGCCTGTCTGTCAGCTTGGTGCCTCCGTGCCTCACGTCTCTGCCCCCAGCGGCCACCAGCAGCCCTGGCCGGCTGAGGACACCCACCTGGTGCTGTCCCGGGGGGCTCCTGGCGGTCACCGGCGCTGCTCCAGCCCTACCCGCGAGCATCAACTCACCCTTCACTGGTCTCCTCGGGGCTGTCCCTGTCCAGCACGAGGCTGTTGCTGGTGACATAGACGGACATGCTAGGGTGCTCGATGAGGAGATCCTCCATGGGGTTGCTCTCCATGCTGTCGAGGCCGGGGCCTTCTGCAGTAAAACAGGGGGGAGGGGTGACAAACCAACTCTCGTCCATCAAGCAGGGGTCGGGCTGGGAGGGCACGGGCCTGCCGACAGTGTCACGGAGCGAGGGGGGCGACGAGGAGGCCGGCGGGGGCGACCCCGGGCGGCGCCGGGCCGTGCACACGGCTGCTCGCTCACCCACCCTCTGCTCTTGGCCAGAGGAGGCGGCACAACTACCTACTGGGCGCCGCCGGGCGGCAGCGGGGCGGCACAGGAGGTGGAAGCCATGCAGAGGAGGGCAGGGAGGAGCACGGAGCAGAGACACACACACATTCCATATACAGTGGGGAGGGAGAGGGAAGGGGGGAGAAAAAGGGGGCATTATTAGTACAAAAGGCACCCCAACAGCATCAATATTATAAGTGTCTACAGTCTAGTACACAGGAACTCTGGCTGAGGAATAAACCACCAGGCAAAGTGAAACCACCACCAGAGCGCAGCAAGGCCACCACCAGGGTCCCGGGGCTGGCGGCTCGGGAGCGGGAGCGCAGCAAGGTCTGTCCTTCCCCATCATCCTCACGCTCCTCGGGAGCCTCCCTCTTTGCAGAGACTCCAAACCTGCCTGGAGAGGAACCTGTGCACGGGGCCGTAGGTGACCCTGCCTGAGGAGGGGGTTGGACTAGAGATCCCTTCCCACCTCGGCCCTTCTCGCAGGGTGGCAACGGCGGCTGCTCGGAGCTCTCCAAGGACTTGTCACCATCCCGGGTGAGAGGCCCAGCCGGGCCCTCCTCACAGGGACAGTGCCCTGTGGGTGGCACCGAGCGGCGGCTGGGGCAGGACCCTTCGCACTGACGGCTGCCAGACCCGCTTCTCACCAGGCCTGGGCTTCAGTGATGCTGTGGGATTGAGAGGGACTTGGACAGACAGAAATAGTAGGATTCCCTGTTTTGCTGCAATGTTAAGCAAGAGAAGCATGCGGATATTTTTGGTTAAGTGGTTTAACCAAAAACTTGGGGAGATCACGAGGAAAACATTTTTTTTCCCCTTCACAAAAGAAGAAAGAACTCGGCCTAGAAGTTCACATCGCCTTTTTTTTTTCTGTGAATTTACTTGATTTGAACCCTGCCTTTCAAAAAAAAAACAACCACTCAATTACTAAGTGAATCTTTGTTTGCAAATACAAACACTTCATTCCTGCAAATGTTGAAGCCAACCACTGAGACAAAAAAAAATCCTCATTTCCTCGAAGAAACCCTTTTTTTCTCAGTGCATAAATTGTTCACCAAAAGCTGTCACCATGCCCCTGACTTCGGTCTGCAGGAGGCAGGTTCTTGGCTGGTGCGCTGTGCAAACTAACTGCACGCATCCCATCGAAATTCCAACATTTATTTTCCCTGCCCTCTTCGCCTCTGCTTGGCAAGGCAGCGGGCCCAGTGCTTTTGTGAGACTCCCATGTCGGATTTTCCTGGCCGGGGTATAGGCCAGGGTTATAAGCCTGCCCTTAGCGCTGGGCACAGCAGGGAGCGGAGCCGTGCTCCCAGGCTCAGCAGTGTGTTCTGGGCTTCTCGACCCGGGGGAATTGGCGGGACCCGTTCTCATCAGGGTGGGCTTGGTGCGGTACCTGTGAACATGTGTGACCTCCCCATGCTGGGAGAGGGTGCAAAACAAACCCGAGATTAACGTGTTCTTGCAGTGCCCAAACAGTCAGCAAGAAATACGGGCGCATGAAGCAAGGGGCAGACATCTGTCATGACAGGGATGTCACCAGCTCGTTCTGCAGACGATTCCCCAGCCTGCGGCTTAGGGCAGGCCACAATTAGCCTTGCGAACAGCAGAACGTCTTTCTTCAGGTCAGTGGATAGGAGGCTATTAATAGTTGTTGACATGCCAGGCTGGGGATTATTTGTCCGCTCGGAGACAGGCAGACGGGGCCCTGGGGTGCCGTGTCCTCCCCTGTTCCTCGGGCTCAGCAGTGCTCCCAGAGCACCCGGGGCTGCGCGTGGGGAGCGGGTGGGCTGGGAACCCAGCCCGCTGAGCCCTGCCCCAGCCTCGCGTCCCTGCCCAGACCCCTCACTGAGGAGCTCTCTAATGTCACAGGGAACGTTTCCGCATTCCCAAGTTCCTGGGTGACTTGCAGCAGGGAAAGCCCATGGAAACGCTCCTTGCTGGCCCCAGGAGCCTGGCCATGCTAAACCATGCCTGACACCTACAGCTTCCCTCCCTACCTCCGGGACAAACTGGACTAACTTCACTTCATTGTCACCCACCTCTTCCAAGGGGGCTCCTGAGTGCCGAGTGAAGCCACACAGGCAGCAATGGAGCAAGAAGAGGCAAGAAAATGCTCCCAAGAGACCTGGTTAGTTCAGGTGCGCTTCGCAGCATGTGGGTCAAAGACCTGGCTGGTGTTGAACTTATTTGGAAGCTCGCTGGGCTGCTTTGCTGCTGGGAGAGAGCCAGCCCGGGCTGTGTTTGCTTGCCATGGTGGCTTTAACTGGAAGGATGGGGTTGCAGCCAACAGGCTTAGCTTTTGAAGTGCTTTGCATAACTGCAGGCTCAGGAAGAGGGCCGAAATAAAATCGATCCCTGGCGGCAGGGCAACGCCAGGGGAAAGGGCAGCAGCGGGGCCGGTGGGGATGAGGGTGCCAGGCCCCACGCAGACACGCTGCTGAAAGCTGGCCCTGCACCAAGGGCCTGGCTAGCCGGTTAAAAAGAGAGACAAAAAAAAAAAAAAGAGAGAAAAAAATGGAGCCTTTTGTACCCAAATCAGTGCAGGATCCCCACAGAGTGGTCTGCATGTCTCTGACCAAGGGGATTCAGGACCTATCCCAGTATTTCTGTTTGAGAAAACTTAGGGCTCGTTTTGGCGTCGTTTGGGCGTGCTGCAGATGTTGCCAGCAGCAGGACCCCGAGGCCGGTGGGCCCTCGCACACAGCAGCTGCATGCGCATTGCTCCAGGGACCTCCTTGCACTCAGCTCGTGCTCAGGGCACTGCTGTCACCCTCACCTCCACCCACGAGGGACAGTCACCGGAGGCCAGGGAACACGCCATGGGATCACACCTGCTGCCTGGGCCACCCTTCTGCTGCCATCAGGGTTCCACGGTGCTCCAGGCAGGTGTGTGGGGCATCCCTGTCCCTGCTTCCCCATCCCAGGCTTGGTCCAGCCCGATGCGTGGAGAAGGAAACTAATGGACACTCACATGTCGCTCTGCTCAACACGCGCAGGACAGGGAGCACCAACCCCTCCTCTGGCCCTGTGAGCAGTCTCCCAGCTTGGGGCACTGGGGTCAATGAGAGTCCGTAAAAAGCAACCTTGGGTGCTGAGAAGCACAAATCCAGGGGCTGGGGCTGGACTGCACACAGTCTTGCTTCTGTAAATTTACTGCTTAATTTGCAAGCAAAAGGTCATAAAATTATCATCGCATACGGTTGAGTCATCAACCTAACAATAGGCAAAGGCATAAACTGTCTTAATGGGGATTAGGAAGCCCTCTTCCACACAAGGCATTTGACCTCTCTGACTGGTGTCAAATGGGACTCTGGATAGTCTCGGCTTTTCCTGAGAACAGGTAGCCCCAGAGGACACGGGTTTCTTTAGATATGTCAACCCTGCTCCAAACAAGCTTTGTCTGAGAGCTCTTGGCAACAGCTCTGGGAATGATTTGTGGAGATAAAGCCTTTCGAAAGAGCTTTCAGAGTCCAGATTTGCTCTCCTGGATGGCCCCAAATGACCCAAGCTTGGGTGGCTGCTGAGGAGGGTGGCCCCGGAGCCGCCCAGGCTCTGTGTCCCAGGTAGGGCAGCCGGAGGCCACAAGCCCCAGGTGGGCAGGACGCAGGGCCGGGGTTGCACCCGGCCGCCCGTGCACCCAGCAGGCCGGGGCGGTCGGCCCGGGCCCGGCAGCGCTCCCAGCGCCAGCAGCTCCCGCAGCAGCCGCGGTCGGGCCGCTCTGACCCAGCGCGCAGCCAAGAGCCCCGCGGGGCTGGCACCTCTCCAGCCACCAAGCCCCGAGCGGGCAGGAGGAACCAGAAAATAGTGGGTGAGCTCCCTGATCCCTGAGACCTGCTGCTTAAAGGGACAGGAAAAAGTTCAGGGAGCTGCAAACTGCTCCTTGGGGTAGAGCCTTGGATCTGGTCCATAATCCACAAACTGGCTCTTCTAAGTGCTGAGGAATTTGTGCCTGGTTGAAGCTAGGTTGCCTTTGATTGCAGCCACATGAAGAGAGCTACAGGGCATTTTACCCTCGCTGCAGTAAGGCTCTGAATAGCTGAGAGGACTTTCCTCGGCTATTCAGCAAACGCTAATGAAAAGGTCCTGCACAGGCAAGGGCCAGGGCTGCTGGGTGCAGGTCCCGGCCTGGGGCCAAGCACAGCCTGACCACTGCTCCCAGAGGGGAAAAATCAGGCCTGTCCCCTCCTGCTGCTCTCACGAGACCTTCTCCCTCCCTGTCCTGTCCAGCATGTGCTTTTAAGAGCTGGGCTGCTGGGACACAACCTGTTCATCTGAGGCCTGGTGGCCTTTTCTGTGAGCACTGTCCCCCCAAGCCTGCTTGGAGGTAGCACTGGAGCAAGGGGGGACACTGCAGCCGCCGGGGGAGCCGGGTGGCAGCGCCTGGGGGCTCCCAGGCTGCCAGCCAGCGTCCCTGGCCCCGGAGGCGGCTGCTCCTACTCCTTCTCTCCCAAGCTGGCTGACAGTTGGGAATCGCTGCCAGGAGAACAGAAAAAGGAAGAGGGGTCAGCTCGGGATCCTTGCGATGACAACAGAGATGTCTGTGCCTGGCCCAGGCTGGGAGTCATGAGTACAGGCCAAGGCGAGGCGGAAGCAGTGAGGGAGGGATGAAGGGCAGAGCTAACCACATGTCGGGGAAGCTCAACTGGAGGTTGCTGCAAGGTCTGATGTCATCTGAAGGGATTTGACCAGCTCTGGAGAAACAAGATGCATCAGAGGCTTTGTGAGAACCATCCCCTCGCTTTTCTCACCTGCAAGGTCAATTATGAGCCATCCATCCTCCTCCTCCTCCTGAGAGACAAAGGGCTTGGGCTCCTCCAGGCCCTCTGGTGCATTGCTGTCACTGAAGAAGAGGCTGGTGAAACGCTGGAACATGGTTGAGGAATGATGTGACCAGAGGAAAGAAGAATAAAGCTACTGCTGAGCGCTGGCCTCAGAGCAAGGGGACAGGCGTTGCGGGCCGGGGCCGGGAGGGACAGTGGCCTCTAGGATCTCTGTCCTGGTGGAAGAGTCCTTCACAGTGGCAGGAGACGCTTCACAGCTAGCGGAATCTCGGCTGAGTTAAGCGATGGATAGTGCAATTATGAGGTTCTTCACTTGGCTTCAGTGCAAAGGCCTGGAAGAGAAAGGAGAAATTCATGGAGACGCCTGGGAAAGGCTGATCCTCCCACACCCCACGGTGCACACGGGCTGAAGGGGAGGACCCAGCGATGACTCTAGACAATCTCTGCCGTCAGTTGCTCCAGCCATTCATTTTTCAGAGGGCATAATACATCGTGTGTGGAAGCAGAGCTGTGACGGGCTCCTGCTGGGTCCTCCTTCCTGCCCCAAGCCCACGCTGTGGCCTGCCAGCCCCTCTGCCCGCAGCCCCAGCTGCTCCCCAGCAATGCCAGACAACAAAACCACCACCGCTGCGGTGCCAAACCCAGAGCTGTACCAGCCAACATGCGGGGCACCTCAAAAGCGCAGATGTGAGGAACGACAGGTTTTGGTCCCAGTCTTGATCCATCTTTTCTGGCTGACCTCGGAAAAGCCACCAGTCATCCCTGCTCTGTCTTGGCAAGACACTGACATTTGGGAAACACGATCTGCTGTGAAAAGCTGCCTTTGCCACTGCCACGAGGCACTAGTGCTGAGTAAGGGTAAGGACTGCAACCCCCTGCACCAGGACAGGCTGGGGGTTGACCTGATGGAGAGCGGTGCTGCAGAGGACATAGAGGACCTGGCAGACAAGTTCACCATGAGCCAGGAATGTGCCCCGTTGGCCCAGAAGGCCAATGGTACCCTGGGCTGCATTAGGAAGAGCACTGCCAGCAGCTTGTGAGAGGTGTTCCTGCTCTACTCAGCCCTGCTGAGGCCACACCACAGGTAGAGCTATGAACTCCTCAATAGAAGAGATGTGGAGCTTCTGGGGCAACCACTAATAGAAGAGACTGGAGCATCTCTCTTTTCTCAGTGGTGCCTAATGACAAGACGAGGCAACGGGCACAAGTCAAAACACAGCAAGTTCCAACTGAAGGCGAGGAAAAGCTCTTTTACTGTGAAGGTGCCTGAGTATTGGAACAGGTTATCCAGAGAGGTTGTGGCGTCTGTCTCTGGAGGCATTCAAAAGCCATTTGGATGTGATCCTGGACAGCCTGCTCTAGGTGACCCTGCCCGAGCAGGGTTTTGAGCAAGTTAATCCCCAGAGGTCCCTCAACCACGCTGGGATTCTCTGAATATGCACTCTTAGATATGCACTGCACAGCAGCGAGACAGCGCAGGCACTTGGCTTGCCAGTGCTTTTCTTTATAACAAGCTGGCTAGGAACAGACTCTTGTCCCTTGGGCTGACACTAGGGCTCCATGGCGCGTCAGAGCAGGGAGTGGGGACCAGGACACTTCCCTTCTGGGGTGGCTTCAGCTCAGTGTCCAGCACCAGCACAAGAGAAGGGTGCCAGGAGGGGAGCGACAAGAGCCACAGCCTTCAATTGGTCACCATTCTGCTCAAAACTTGCCTGTGCTGGTAACCACTTGGGGTTGATTTAGTTATCATTTCTATCATCACAGAATCACAGAATATTTAAGGTTGGAAGGGACCTCTAGAGATCATCTAGTCCAACCTTCCTGCTCAAGCAGGCACACCTAGAGCATGTGGCACAGGGTGGCATCCAGGCGGGTTTTGAAGACCTCCAGAGTAGGAGACTCCACAACCTCCCTGGGCAGCCTGTTCCACTGCTCTGTCACCCTCACAGTAAAGAAGTTCCTCCTCACCTGGAGACGGAACTTCCTGTGCTCCAGCTTGTGGCCATTACCCCTCGTCCTGTCGCTGGCCACCAATGAAAACAGCCTGTCCCCTTCCTCCCTGCATTCTCCCTTCCTGAACTTATACACATTAATCAGATCCCCTCTGAGCCGTCTCTTCTCCAGAGAAAACAGGCCCAGCTCACTCAGCCTCTCTTCATACGAGAGATGTTCCATTCCCTTAATCATCTTGGTTGCTCTTCTCTGGACCCTCTCGAGAAGCTCCACGTCCCTCCTATACTGGGGTGCCCAGAACTGAACACAGTACTCCAGGTGCGGCCTCACCAGAGCTGAGBAGAGGGGCAGAATCACCTCCCTTGACCTGCTGGCAACACTCCTCCTGATGCAGGCCAGGATCCCATTGGCCTTCTTGGCCACGAGGGCACTGCTGACTCATGGTTAACTTGGTGTCAACCACGACTCCCAGGTCCCTCTCCATGGACGTGCTTTCCAGCAGGTCGACCCCTAATCTGTACTGATGCCTGGGGTTATTCCTCCTACACTTGTCCTTGTTGAACCTCATGAGGTTCCTCTCTGCCCAACTCTCCAGCCTGTCCAGGTCCCTCTGGATGGCAGCACAGCCCTCCAGAGTGTCGGCCACTCCACCCAGCTTGGTATCATCTGCAAACTTGCTAAGGGTGCACTCCGTGCCCCCGTTCAGGTCATTGATGAACAAATTGAACAGCACTGGGGCCAGTACTGACCTCTGGGGGACACCACTGGCCACAGGCCTCCAACTGGACTCGGCCCCATTTATCGCCACCCTCTGAGCTCTGCCATCCAGCCAGCCCTCGATCCACCGCACCGTGCATCATTTGCCAACGTTTGCGTGCATTGGCAGGGACGCTCGTTTAACGCAGTTGCAGACACGCCGCTGTCCCACTGAGGCCGATGACACTGTCACCCGTGTGCCCGAGCACCCACAGCGCTGCTTACGAGGCTCCCAACCACAACACGCTGCTCCTACCCCAGAGCATCCCCTAAGGCCACCAGCGGGCCCAGGGCAGAGCCGAGCTTGGGGACACGGGCGGCGCTGGTCCCCCCAGGCCGCTCCCCGGCTGGGGACGGGGCTGCCAGGGCAGACGGTGCCCCGAGCTGCTGCTCCCTTCCACGTGCCCCCTGCGTGCCCCACACCCATGCAGATCCCCCAGCGCGGGTGGCCTTGGAGCCCTGGGTCTCGCTCCTGTCCCCTGTCCCCGCCAGCATCAGTGCACAGGAGGGAGCGGGCGCTGCCAGCAGCAGCGCAGCAACAGGCAGGATGGCAGCCACCCTCCCCTGGCCGCGTTCGCCGGGCACCGCTTGCCAGCGAGCGGGCAAGTCTTCGCTATTTACACCTCGTTGCTGCTGCAGTTTTATTGCTGGGGAAACAAAGTCCTTGCAGCTTAGGGAGAGGTCAGGACTCCAATTTTATTAATGTCTCTAAAGCTCTCGGCGAGCTGCAGACAGATGGCAGACACAAGGTGCAGAGTATCGTTAGCAAGGAGAAAATGGATTTGCTTGAGCGACATAGAAGGGCATTAAAATGCCATCAAGAGCTAGACAGAGGGAAAGGCAAAGCACCTCCCTGGGACAGCTGGGTGCTGCCCTGCTTGGCACAGGGCCACTCACATACCCTCTTTAGAGGGCAATCCCTGTTTCATGGCTCTGGAAAGGCAGGCGCAGTAGAGCCTGCAAGCAGCTCTACAGCCGGGGGGTACATCATCCCTGGCCGAGGCCGTGAGGGCACCAGGACTGGGAAGTGACCCCGTTCCTTCAAGGAAAGGAGGAGGGCAGGGAAAGGGCTGCTCAGGGGCTTGTCCGAATCCCTCGGCAGGAGGAAGGGCTCCGGCTCCCCACGCAGCTCTGGGGCCTCCCCCCAAGGCAGGGAGCATCCTGTCCAGGAGACGGGCAGAGCCGGGGCAGAACTCCACGGCTCTTCATAAACACCAAAGACAACAGCAGAGTCAAGCTGTGAACCCTGCTGATGGGGCTCAACACTCACTCAGTGCGAGAACCCCCTTTTGATTAGTGTGGATTTGTTTTTAATAACAATAAAATAGAGCAAAGATGCAACAAACCCATTAGGGTGAAGTGGGCTGCTGACCCCCAGAGCCATCATTACAGCCTCACAACCCCCGGGGTTAGAAACAGAGAGCTGAGGTCCCAAAGAGACACCTGCCCTCCCACAGCCACTCCCGGCATTCCCTGAGCACTGGCGACCTCCGAAGCCACTCGCTGGCCCCCATTCCAGCCCAGCTCCTCCCAACCATGGAGCTCCCTCCGGCCTCCTGCAGCTCCACAGCACCAAGCTGCCTCCTGGCAGCCTTTGCATTTCATGAGGGCGCTCGTGCCCAAGCCTGGCACAGAGCTTTCCCCTTTGCAAAAAGCTTTCCCCTTTGCAAAGCCCCGGGCTAAAGGGACATTTCAGCTCCCTGCCTCCAAAATGAGATCTGTACTGCAAATAAAGGCACCTCCTCACCTTCTAGCAAGGCCTGGGAACAAGCAGAAGCAGAGGGGAACAGCCCATCACCACCCGTGCTGGGAAAATGGAGACCTCCAACCATAAGATCAGCTGTTGTGAGGCTTTGTGGGACTCAGATGGGTAGCACCCTGCTCCTCAGCAGCCTGCACGAGCAGCAGCAGCAAACAGACCCCCTGCTCCTGCTGGAGAGGCCAGATGTGGACGGGAAGGGTGCAACGTGCTGGGCCTTGCCCACCAGCAAGGAACCCCGTGGCTGCCAGGAGAGCGAGGAAAGACAGAGGCCCCAGGAACCCAGCGGATGGGAGCAGAGGACTTGAGGGAGCTCCGCTGAGGGCCACGTGAGCCCCAGCTCTCCGAGAGGTCCAGCTTTGGCTCGGGCACCTGCAAAGCAGGGCTGGGCGGCACTCGGCGGTACCCTGCACTGGGGAGGGAGCTCCGGCGCTGACCCGACCACATGCCTGCTGCCTGCGCAGACACCACGGGGAGGAAGAGGGCAAGACAGCAAAGATCCCTCACCCCGGGAGCTCCCCAGCGCCTGCGCAGACCGTAGCTCCGGCTGGGTTTGCACCAGGCCTAGAGTGCTCTCGCTGAGGGCCATAACTGCTTTACAACCCACTCCTTTAGTTAATGTCTTCCTCCCACTGCTCATGAACTGGCAATGGCTGGAGCAGAGTGGCTCTTTGTACTGGAGCATCAGGAGAGACGCAAAGGGCTCTGGCCAGGGCACAGAGCAGCCCTGCAAGAGAAGATCCCTGGTTCCAGAGACCATCTAGTCCAGCCCCCTGCTCATGCAGTCACCCAGAGCACGAGCCACAGGAACCTTCCCAGAGGGGTTTTGTACATGCCCAAGGGAGGAGA